AACAAAACTGAAAACCTCACTACAAACATACAACCCTTAAGTCACTCAAAATCCAATCTTATTTTCGGTCATTAAGTCATTTCAGTTTTGCTCAGCATAAAAAAAATTTAAACTTTCCTTTCTACTCACTTTTTCTATATTATCACCTATCTTCATCGTTACGGTAAGGCCAACCAACTTATCTTTGACCATCAAATAAGCTATCTTGATCACACATCTTAAGAACACTCACTCAATTTCAGGGTTACCTGTGGATGGATAAAAACAGTCGAAAACCAAAACTGACACCTCTCGGCTTCTCGGTGATGCTGCCATCCAACAAAGAGTACCAACGACACGAAGCAGAATGAAGCGATACAAATAAACAGTCCACCACCGATCAACTTGTGATTGGTTTTTCATAAGGCCATAATTATAAGAATTTATTTCTCCTTATTTTTTTTCTTTTTTTCACTTTTTTTCCTTGCTTCAGTCCTGTTAGTATCAGCCAACAAAAAATTGCAATAAGATACCGAACAACAGAACAAAAATGTTGTCAGAAAGAAACAGTCAGATAAAACTGATTTCGTTGAAGCAAAAAACAGTTCTCTATGTCAATAGACGTAGACAAAAAGACAATATAATAGTGCGCACAGTAAAAACAAGGTAAGTCAACCATTCCTTAAGTACAACAGGAATGCGGAAATAAAGGAAGATATAAGTTACAGGATGAACACGGAAAAGCTTAAAAGAGTAAAAATATGCCATTATTATTATGGCAAACATTTAAGCCTTTTTTTCCTATTAATTATCAAAGTTCGCAAACCGCAACGAACGAAGACAGGTAGATCAATAAAAGAAAAAAAAAAAAAAGCAAAATAAAAAAAATAGAGTAAAATAACAAGTCCTTGTAAAAATTAATATACACATATAACAAATAAAGTTGTCACAAATTCCTACAAGTTTTAGGAACTACGAGGTAAATTACGAATTATGCATGTTCAGTTAATTTCAGCATACTGTTAAAACAAGAAAAATTCAGGAAAAAAGTGACACCCAATATATCTAGCTATCAATGTTAGCATTTATCAACGAAAGCCAATCTGCATACTGAACAGTGATTTAAGCATCACCATGCTACAAAAAGCTTTACATTAGTCACAACATCTATTTTGGGACTTTCGATACTACGACAAAAAATATTGAAAATATGCTCTTGAGAACTTTGCCCCCGCTGATTTTACTACAGGTCCCAACGTGAACGACAAGAAACATTTATAAAAGTAGCCCTTAAAAGTCTCCTGTGCTTGTAGCTTACAAATTATCAAATACAAAAAAAATTACAAATTTAATAGGCTTCACACTACGACTATTAGCGGCAATTAATACATTCTACCTATGGTCCCTTAATAATAAAACGAATTTACTCTTAAGACTAAGTGTAGCAACAAAGAAAGGAAACCGTAACATGGCTAGGACCGCAACAAGTGCTGTTAACAGACTGAAAGTAAACAGTTATATCAAAGTTTTCAAATTACTGTCAATAGAACAGAACAATGTTAGCTATATCGAAAACAGTGTAGCTATATTACATCACCTAAGTTCCCAAATGCATCCAAACTCACAAATTTGTCATCTTAAAAACAACAGCCCGTCGTTCTTTTTTAATTTCTGAGTCACTAAGAGACCGATGCAGGGAACGTTGACGAGATGGCCGACTCTCACTAACTTTAGACTTCAAAGTAAACCCGTTTGAATTTGTCAGCGGTTCCACTTCTGTCTCATTTAGCAATGTTGAGTCAAGATCAATTTTTTCTATACCAGTTTCTGCCTCTGCCCTAGCTAATTCGAATGAAGCATTTGTATCATCCTTCCTAAAGTTCTTTACTTCATCTGCTGAATCTGCAATGTTATCAAAGGCATTCTGAATAGGCAACGTTAATTCCGAAGCCGAACACAACATTTCTCCAGCTCCACCATCAATATCAATGACAGTTTCCTCAATAGATGACAATTCATTTGATGTTGAAGTTGGCGTAGTGTATGTGGCATTACCAAATGAGCGATGAGACATATTTCTGACAGTTACTGTCTTTAACTGCTGAAAATATGAACTTCCTTTGAAGTAAGAAACAATCTGTTATAGATATTTGAAAATTTTTTTTCTGAAATTAACCAAAAATATCTAGTGAAAAGTTGTTTTGAACATAAGAAACTGGCTCTGACAGTAACTCAGGTTTTCTCCACCAGCCGAATACTGTTTAAACCATTAAAACCACTCATCATGCAAATACTTTGCCAACGAAAAAAAAAACTAACAGCTTCAAGTTTAGCGATCTTTGTTTGCTGAGCCTTCCTCTCATTTCTCAGATTAGCTACCAAGTTTTTATAAATATTAATATCATATTCCATACGCTGCCGCTGGCTCAAGATCTTCTGTACGTTCCTCTGTTCACAAATCAATTTTTCTTTATAAGACAATTTCTTCTCAGCTTCTCGGCGCAATCTGTACTTCAAATATTCAACTTCCTCTTTTAAGTCCTAGAATAACACCTACTATAACAGGTGCTTTCAATGTGAAAAAAAGATAGCATCTTTTGTCTCAAAAAAATAAGCAAAGAGTCACTTCTGATACCAACTGTATATCATTTTAGCCATAAATTACCCGAACAACTTCGTTTCGATAACGCATCGTTCTCCTATCATCTTCAGAAACAAACGAGTCATCCGAATCAAGAAGTTCCTCGTCGTAATTTGTACTCTTCATTGTGGTGTACTCATTACCAATCTTGGTCTCATAAAATTTACGTTTACCAAAGTTTGAACCATTCTAAAAAATTTTTTTCAAATAGAAGTAAAAAAATAAAGAACCACACACAACTTATAAAGTAAACTACTGAAACTATTTATACATATCCAATAAACTTTGAAGCAAAAAACAGACCAAAGTGACTTTAAAATTATGCTCCTTCAGTCCAATAAGGCGTGAATGACCATATCTCTCGTATTCATCCCGTCCAATGCAAGATCTTGTTCCCTTGGTTTGCTTTGGTTGTGTTATTGTGTGATACGGAGCTGTAGGCTTTGCAAAGGTATCATCAAAACCGACTGCAACAGAAGATCGACGATCTTTTCTCGTACTGCTATAAACATTCCCATTGCGGCAAACTGGTCTCCGATCCTAAAACTGTCGTATAATTGGACTTGATGAAATATAAGACTTTAAACCGTAAAAACAAAAGGTACTACAACGAAAGCTCAAGTTTGAAAAGAATAAAATTTTCGGGTAGCAGAAATCGACATGTTCTGCGCAGTGGAGATTTTCCAACAAATATGTGATGAGGAAACTGCAAAAAATGCAGCAGTTCCCCAAATAAGGAGCCAAAAAAATGATGCGCATACAGAACAAAAGTTTTTTAGACACAAAATTACTTATCCAATTCAAATTTATAGCTATCAAATCAATGATCAGAAAGAAAAGAAAAATAAAAAAAATAAAACTGTAAAGGCACACATCATCTGTAGGTGAATCGTTCTCTTTGTCCACTTTCTTCGATCGAAACATCCTCAAAAAATTCGACATCTTCTGGTCCAATCCGTTTTCCAAAAGGAGAGGAAAAAAAAAAGAAAAAAAATGGTGTGGAAACTGTAAGTAGAAACACTGTCACTTTTATTTTTCCACGAAGATCAGTAACTGTATGCGCGTAAACAGAAAAAAAAAAATCTCGAAAAATAATCATAACAAATGAAACACTTGTTGGAAATGCAAGAGGAATAGAAATCCAATTCAGATATGTCAATTGTTCAAAAACGATAATACTTCCACATAATTATTTTGGAGTTATAATCCTAAAAAAAAAAAA